TTACAATCGTCCAGATCATAAGTCTGACCGGTCTTTCTGTGAACACGTGATATCCGTGCACATTGACTAATAGATCTTTTATATTCTACTCGATCTCACAACTTTCAGTTGGACGGGGGTTAAATTTGACCAGGTGAAGGGTGGGTGGGAAAAGGATTGATGAAATTGTAACTGTAAATTATGAATTTATTATTTTTAATTTTAGTGTTTCAATTTAGGCTTGCTCATTCAAAACCGCAGATATGAACGGTAGCAGCTTAGTGATTGCTACAGATCCGGATGCTGATCGATTCCAGCTGGCCGAAAAAAATGAGTACGTCATAATGCCGGTTTTCTTGATTATTGAAAATTGTCAGTTATCTTATGCGGCGATACAAGCACTCGGAGCGATATCATAGTACTAGGTGATGCTTGAAATATGGGTATGGGAAGTTGCACAGCCCACAATTTGACTTGAGGTATTTTGCTTCCATATCATTTTTGGTGAAGTTCCTAAAACCGTTGCTTAAATCGTAACACGTCCTTAAATTTTAATTTGTTAGCAAAGTCACTTGTCATATGGTTATGCCAACTTTATCATCATAATCATAAGAGCGTTAACTGCGCATATCAATCCCGACTTTACGAATCGAGCTGGATCCATCATCAAGAGACGTTATATGACCGGTGCCAAGAACAATGCCAGCAATGTCGTTGTTTATTGTGAAGCTACCTTGAGGTGTAAATAGATCAATGAATTATTGATATGTAGTTTAACTGAATCGACAGGTTTAGGTGATGTTTAGCCATAATATTCCTAAGCAACTTCTTTTTTGTTTTTTCCTGATTGATGACAATGCCTGGCTGTTGTTTCTGTTCAGATATTCGCCTGTTTATACGATTGTGTGTGCAGAGATATTGCGTTGACTGATGTCATGGTCTGTAAAATCAGCTGTGACAATTGATGATACGACCACGTTTTTGAGGTAATTGTTTAAGCATTAACTTGAGCAAGAGAACGAGTTTTCTTTAAGATCAGCTATATGCTGAACATTTAACGAAGGCACTTCTCCAGCATGTTGAAATAGAGCAGCTAGTACTTGAAGTAGAATACGATGTAGTGTATGGCGAACGATGACTCGTAACCACCCTTTACATCGCAGAAGTCACATGTAAGGGTTAATGGTTTAGACATAGAATTAACTTGACGCAGATTTCTTGTTAATGTTAACTCATCTGATTGCATGGGCGGAAACAGAAATTTGTAGAAGAGTTTTGTACAGCCGGCAAACGTCGATATAAATGACTCTTGACCTGTCATTACTTAAACAGTGTACATTTTATTCGCTGCACGCAACCAAATGCAGTGCTACCTTTAACTACGCTGCGAGTGCGATTTGATGTACTCTCTCACACGTTTTAAGGTACTCTGAATTTTTAAATGCGCTTATGCAAGTTGGCAGGTGTTGATCATTCTCTTCACATCAGTTGTTAATGTTATACTTGTGTGGAGAATGGTTCCTTCGGAGAAAAACTTAATAATGTTCCATAATAAGCATCGTTCGTTACACTTTTTCATATACTAATCTATTTTAATCACTGATTCAAAGCTGCCGGTGCTCAAATCGCTTTTCATCCTCATGCTCACATGTGGTCATGAGTCAAGGGGCGGACTGAATAACCGCGTTCCTGGGTACAAGCGGCTGAAATGGGCTTTCTGAGATGAATCGCTTGGCTGACGCGTCTCGACATAGTCCGGAATACAGATGTCTGAGAGAGTTCTGATATACAGCCACTGCTTCTCTAGATTGAAAAGTTGTCACAATTGCGATGGTTGCAGGGCACGTGTGCTTTCAGAAGGAAAGGCGAAACTGCTGCTGCTTGCAATACGTGCTCGCCGAAGACCCCGGAGACTGCAAAGAATGAGCTGGGGAAGGTGTTTTGACTGATTTTGCTCCTGACGTATTATCTTCTGTCGAAGCTTAAATGCTGGCTCACAGGATCACGAAATTTGGCGACACTGTGACGCTGCTACCTCTGCGATCCAAGAAGATCACAGGCTCTCTGACTGATTTCTGATTCGGCATCATAAGTTAGGCGCGTTTTTTATTCCTTAACGCAGCGTACGTAGCTAGGTAGCCACCATTACGTGTATATCATGCTTTCTCCTCAACGAAAGAATTGCTTACATCAGCCCTGGGCATAACGTTCGTGCGCTCATTGTTAAGTAGCTAACGCATTACTTCATGAGAATGGCTTAGGGTGTGCCACCAGTGTCTTCATTACACAACATAAGCCATTCTTGCCTGTATGATAAATTGGCAGAAACAGTGTAGATGTCAACCAAATTGTAGTCTTTAGCCTTGATACTGACTTTGAAGCTTCGAAAACCGTGATCTGATGAAGTGAGAACGGCGCTATTGCGCCCATCTTATAATCTCTCTTAGATTTAGTGCCCCAGCAGTTCTTAATTTCACTCAATTTCGCTACTAAATCTATTGACTCACCTGCTGAGCAAACCTCGACACTTATTTCATTTCCTCCAAAATCTTTTAGCACCTTGAGAGGCCTTTTATACTGGTTTTTAAATTAATTCGACAGCTGTTTCAGATCGCACCGAATTCAGCTTCAGGGAACATAACTCATAAACAGTTTAAGCGATGCTTTTTTCATGATTGTTTTTAGTTTGTAATTTGCATTTTTAGCGGAAGCTGGCATATATTCACCGGCAACGAAATGGGCGCGTTGCTAGCGTGGTGGAAATGGTATAATTGGCGAAGGTTGAACCCTGACAAATCAGGTAAAAGGGCGAAGATCGAAAAAATGTTGCTATGCACCATTTGATTACGGTCGCTTATAGTACAAAAATAATTACAGAGTTCAGACATGGCCACAAGGAATTATGGAGAACTATATCTTAAACCCCTGTTTTTCTAAGAAGCGCGTATTCTCTGTAAAGAGTGATGTACGTTGCGTCACCTGTAAAATGCGCAGTCGTTCAAGAAAAGACGTTTTCCCGGAGAGGTGGATATATATCTACTTATCACGAACAGTTAATTCCTCTAAAACTTAATTGCACCCCGTCTAATTGCTTCAAGGAAGTTGAGTAAGCCATGTCTGCATGGTATTTGTGCATTTGCAGTGTAAGGTGCCTCTTGCCTTATTTGGTTTGCTGCAACCTTCTGTTGCTCCTCAGCAACAATGTCATGAACCAGTATTCCTTATATATTGCTGCATAAACAAAAGGTGTGGCTTCCTACTTCAGAGCATAACTGCTGACAGTGAGGCGTTGCCTGCTTACATGGCCTCCGTAGATGTTGTGAAATCCGCTTGTTTCTAATTTTGTTTTAAATTAAATTTATATTTAAAGCTTTTGATGACTTATTCACTATCGGTTATATCAAGACAAATTGCTGCAGTTTTCTGCTACTTGCATCGAGGGAAGGTGAAGTGAATTTTTCGAAGTGGCAATTAATAGATAGAATTGTCTATCCTATAACTGGAACCTGGTACCTCTAACGTGCAGAACCAAAATATGTCCAATGCTTCATAGCATGTTGAGGAGCGAAGCAGCGTTTGCTAGCGCAGTTTAGCGTACGAACCTGTAACATATGTATTTTGTTTACACGGTAACATAAAAGAAGTATGGGTTCATGCAGTATCGTTCGTTGCGTGCAAGAGACCGTTCAGGCGATTGGCATAATACCGAGACAGCTGGCAGATGGGGAAAGGTGCATTATGCCATGAAATCCGGTTTTGCTGGAGTTAGGCGCGTGTTAGTAAATAAACAAGTACCACTTGATGAAACGAAAATGATCGACAGTGCGAAGTGCTTGTCAGTTGACTCTAGAGATACTGTGTTTATAAAAAGGTACTCTTGACTGACGGCATGGCAACGGAAATCGGTGCCACGATATAAGCTTCATAGATGAAGAATGCCGCATGTATAGCGGCCTTTATGAAAGTTAAAGGGGATCAAATTCCCAGCGATTACAAACGTCACTTTTCTTGTTTTTTTCTTCTGGCGACATAGACAGACAAAATACCTTTCTTGTCTCTCGCCATTACGTTATATTATCTCTCCGCAATTTATTAGCGTTTTTCTTTCGTTTCACTGTTGATGTTTTTCTGTCATTTTAGCTGAAGACGTGTACATCATAAATAGTGCGGTTTCATCGAAGATCGCTCGCACAATCGCTGAGACTGAGGGATTCAAATATGAAGAAACGCTGACAGGGTTCAAGTGGATGGCGAACAAAGCCGCCACTTTGCGCTCGCAGGGAAAAACTGTACTTATGGCGTGGGAAGAATCGATCGGTTACATGCCGGGGGACGCGCTGGACAAAGATGGTGTGATCACGTCCGCGATATTCGCTGATTACGCTTCTTTCCTGCACGCCAAGAACATGACATTCCAGCAACAGTTAGCTGAACTGTATGCCAAGTAGGCAGTCACGATACCGTAGTTTTCATTATGTTCGAATGTGCGGCAAATTTAGGTACGGCTACCACGTGAACTACGGCTCTTACTTCATCTGCCACAGACCGGAAATGATACTCTCTTTGTTCAATGATTTAAGAAACTGTTGTGGCAAAAATAAGGCACGTGACCGCTGAGGTGATTTTTGTGTTTGATGCCACTGTTCCAATATTTAGTACCCTGAAAGTTGTGGGCCGTATGCAG